AGTGTGAGATATGAGTGAGGTTGTTTCCAAAATGGATTGAATAAATGATGTGAATGTACTGATCCATGATGATCTACATTAGATGAAGACTTATTAGACACAGATGAAGCCAAATCCGAAATGCAGAATTTGCTGAGAAATGCCATTGTGTCTCCCAAGAGCAATTGCTAAGCTTGCAACGTAAGGAGAAACAAATCTGCTAAGGAGGGAAAAAAAAAAGATAAAATCTGCTGTGTCAATTAACTAATGATCTGTCTCATTCTTTCTCTATTTCTCTCTTTCTTTCTGCTCCCTCTCTTTCTCACTCTTTTCTCAGGATAAACATAGAAAATGAAATATTCAATATTTTGATATGCATATAGGTACCAATGTTTATCTGTATTTAACTTGAACGTGGACATTGTCTGCGTAATCTTCTCTATTCATTTGCACATTTATGTACTATCATAAAGGGCAGGCAAAGTGTCTCAGAATCCATGAGAAATATAGTTTGAGTTATGTCTTTTGTGCCCTGCTCATCCATGAGTCTTGTTCTTTGGCATTCACATTATGGCTCTGAGAGCAATCTGAAAATATACTTTTTGTATAAATTCAGTGTTCTCTAACTGTCTGATTTCTTCTGAATTTCAGGCCATGTTTGTGGAATGGTGACAAGGTTAGTGAGTCAAGATACTCTTGGGGAAGAAGAGTTCTACTGGGTTAAGAAAAAAGCTATAGCAAGTGAAGGGCAAGGCTTGAAGCTCAGTTCTTCTGATTTTTGGTCAAATGTGCCCGTTACATTTTGTTTAACAGTTTCTTGAGGTCAAGGATAACATTTATATTTACCATCTTAGAATTTAGTATGTTGCTTGACATATAAAATATACTGAATGAATAAATGAATGACAAATGAATACACCTTTAGCATTTTACAAATGCCCAGTATCAAATGAATGCTGACAGTTTCTCAAGTCTTTATTGGGTACAATTCCATATTGCCTAAAATACATGAGAATTAAACAAGTGACTTGTCTAATATTTCTATAAGATCAACACTAAACTTGTTATTCATGTATATATTTATTATAACAGGACTGATTGTTAGCTCCATATCAAGCTTTATGTTGTAGATCAGTGAGCTACTATTTCTATTAATATTCTATTAATATTTTTAACAATTTCTGAACATATGGAAGAAGTTTGTTTTTAAACTACAAATTTAATTTCCTTAACAGTTATAGGACCATTCAACTAATCTATTTAATAGTGAGTGACTTGTGGTAGTTTGTGTTTTTTAACTAATTGGCCCACTTCATCCAAGTTTTTAAACTTAAATGTATAGAAATGTTCTTAGTACTCTTATCTTTTTGAAGCCTGCAAACTTTATCGTAATATTACTGTTTTATTCTGGAAATTGATAATTCATATCTTTTTTGTCTTTGCCAATTTTGCCAATGTTTTGTCATTTCAAAGAAAGAAGCAGCTCTTTGTTTCATTAATTTTCCCTTTTGTTTTTATGACTTCAGCATAACTGGTTTCTGCTTTTACTTTATTATAATTTCTTTCTTGCTTGCTTTGCAATTATATTGTTCTTTTTCTAAGTTCTTAAGATGGGAGCTTAGCCATTAATTTAAGACTTTTATTCTTGTTATTCCTTAAATTTTTAATTTTATATCTTGTACGTATATAGTAGATGTGTATATTTATGTTACATGAGATATTTTAATATGGGCATACAATGCATGATAATCACATCAGGGTAAATGGGGTATCCATCTCCTCAAGCATTTGTCCTTTTTTAAAAAATAAAACAATCCAATTATGCTCTTTTAGTTATTAAATTATTTTTCAATAGTTTTTGGTCTTTTAGTTATTTTAAATGTAGGGTTTTTTTTTTTCTTCCCTATAGTCACCCTATTGTGCTAGCAAATACTAGGCCTTGTTCATTCTTTCTCACTATATTTTTATACTTACTAACCGTCCTGACTTCACCCCTTCTCTTTCCCAACTACTTTTCCCAGCCTCCGGTAACCATTCCTCTACTCTCTATCTCCATGAGTATAACTGTTTTGATTTTTAGCTCCTCCACATAAGTGAGAATCTGTGATATTTGTTTTTCTCTGACTGGCTTATTTTATTTAACACAATAACCTCCACTTTCATCCATATTGTTGCAGATGACACGATCTCATTCTGTTTTTGGTAGGTATTAGATTGTGTCTATGTACCACATTTTCTTTATCCATGTGTCTGCTGACAGGCACTTCAGTTGCTTCCAAGTCTTGACTATTATAAATAGTGATACAATAAAGACGAGAGTGCAGATATCTCTTTGATATACTAACTTTCTTTCTTTTGGGTACATACCTAGGAGTAGGATTGCCGGATCATATGGTAACTTTATTTTTAGTTTCTTCAGGACCCTCCAAATCGTTCTCCATAGTGGTTGTGCTAATTTACCTTTCCACCCATAGTGTACGAGGGTTCTCTTTTTGTGAATTTTGGAGAAAATCCACATCCTCACCAGCATTTGTTATTGTCTGTCTTTAATATAAAAGCCATTTTAACTGGGATAAGATGATATTTCATTGTAGTTTTGATTTGCATTTCTCTGATGATCAGTGATTTTGTGGACCTTTTCATATATCGGTTTACCATTTGTATGTCTTTTTTTCAGAAATGTCTGTTCAGAAGTATGGTCCATTAAAAAAATCAGATTATTAGATTTTTTTCCTATACAGTTGTTTGAACTCCTTGTATATTCTGGTTTTTAATCCCTTGTCAGATGAATAGTTTGCAAGTATTTTCTCCCATTCTGTGTGTTGTCTTTTTGCTTTTTAAAATTCTTTTCTTTGCTGTGCAGAGGCTTTTTAACTTGATGTAATCCCATTTGCTCATCTTTCCTTTATCTGTGGGGTATTACTCAAGAAGTCTTTGCCAATTCCAGTGTCCTGGAGAGTTTCCCCAATGTTTTCTTTTAGCAGTTTCATAGTTTAAAATCTTAGATTTAAGCATTTTATCCATTTTGATTTGGTTTCTGTATATGGTGAAAGATAGGGGTCTAGTTTCATTCTTCTGCATATGGATATCCAATTTTCCCAGATCATTTATTTAAGAGACTGTCTTTTCCCCAGTGTATGTTCTTGGAAACTCTGTTTAAAAATGAGTACTCGGTAGAGGTATGGATTTATTTCTGGGCTATCTGTTCTGTTGCACTGGTCTATGTGTCTATTTTTATGCCAGACTTACTGCTGTCTTGTTTACTGTAGTTCTGTAATATAATTTGAAGTCAGGTAATGTGATTCCTCTAGTTTTGTTCTTTTGCTTAGGAAAGCTTTGGCTATTCTGGGTATTTTGTGGTCGCATATAAATCTTAGAATTATTGTTTCTATTTCTGGGAAGAATATCCTTGATATTTTGATAGAGACTGCATTGTTTGTAGATTGCTTTGGGTAGTGTGGACATTTTAACAATATTGATTCTTCCAATCCATAAATATACAATCTCTTTCCATTTTTTTTGTGTCTTCCTCAATTTCTTACATATATGTTTTATGATTTTTATTAGAGAGATCTTTCATTTCCTTGGTTAATTCCTAGATATTTAATTGTATTTGTAACTTTTATAAATAGGATTACCGTCTTGCTTTTTTTTTCAGATTATTTGCTGTTGACATATAAAAATTCTACTAATTTTTGTACATTAATTTTGTGCCCTGAAGCTTTATTGGATTTGTTGATCAGTTCTAATAGTATTTTGGTGGAGTCTTTAGATTTCTTTTAAATATAAGATCATATCATCTGCAAAGAAGGATAATTTGACTTGCTTCTTTTCAATGTGGATGTCCTTTATTTCTTTCTCTTATCTGATTGTTCTAGCTAGGACTTTTAGTACTATTTTGAATTACAGTGGTGATAGCGGACATCTTCGTCATATTCCAGGTTTCAGAGGAAAGTCTTTCAATTTTTCCCTGTTAAGTATGATATTAGCTGTGGGTCTGTAATATACGGCCTTTCTTTTTAAATATATGCACTTAATGCTATATTATTTTTTCCTCAGCATTGCTGTAGCCGTCTGCAACAAGTTTTTACATATAGTGTTTTAATTTTTATTCAGGTTAATGAATTTTTAAATTCTCCTTTAGATTTCCTTTTTGACTAACGGCTTATGTGAAAGTATATTGTTTATCTGTATGTTTATCTATCCATCTGTTATCTATCATCTGTCTTTTTCTATAGTTTATCACAATCTGCTGATACCATCATGTTACCAGTTGGAGTAATGTGTTGAAATGTTACCTCCCGTTATGTCCATTGACTATTTTCCAGTTATCTTCTGTTATTGATTTCTATTGTATTCCACTGTGGCTAGAGAATACATTTTGTATGATCTCACTTCTTCTAAATTTGTTTTATGGCCCAGGATGTGATTTATTTTGGTATGTGTTCTATGGAAACTGGAAAACAATGTGTTTTATGCTCCAGTTGGGTGGAATGTTCTATAAAGGTCAATTAGATTCTGTCATCTGATTGTGTTCTTGAATCTACTATACTTTGATACTTTTCTGTCTAGTTCTATCAATTGTTGAAAGAGAGGTGTTAAATTATCCAACTGTACTTTTGAATTTATTTCTCTTTTTAATTCTATTAGCTTTTGCTTCACATAATTTGCAGTTCTGTTGTCCGTATACTTTAGGATTGCTATGTCTTCTTGCTGCATTGAACTTTTCATCATATAACGTCCCTCTCTGTCTATAATTGTCTTTGCACTAAAGTCTACTTTATGTGATATTGATATAGTTACTTAAGTCGTTTTTGCTTAAAGTTTGTAGATTTTTTATTCTTTTAATATTTATATCTGAAGTGAATTTCTTATAAACAGCACATGAGTTATGTATTAACCTACTCTGGCTTTCGTCCCAGTCTCGAGCTCTCGCTGGCCTTTGGGTGTACCTGCTCCGGGATCTTCAGTACCGCGGCCACCATCGCCGTCGCTTGGCTCCCTCCGGGCTCATCTGCGCCACTTGCTCGCTCCACACTCCGCCGCCATAAGCTGCCGTCATGGTGAAGCTCACGAAGGCGGGTAAAAATCAAGGTGACCCCAAGAAAATGGCTCCTCCTCCAAAGGAGGTAGAAGAAGATAGTGAAGATGAGGAAATGTCAGAAGATGAAGAAGATGATAGCAGTGGGGAAGAGGTTGTCATACCTCAGAAGAGAGGCAAGGAGGCTGCTGCAACCCCAGCAAAGAAAGTGGTAGTTGCCCCAACAAAAAAGGGTTGCAGTTGCCCCACCGGCTAAGAAAGCAGCTGTCGCTCCAGGCAAAAAGGCAGCAGCAACACCTGCCAAGAAGACAGTTACACTGGCCAAAGCAGTTGCCACACCTGGCAAAGCATTGGTAGCAACTCCTGGTAAAAAGGGTGCTGCCATTCCAGCCAAGGGGGCAAAGAATGGCAAGAATGCCAAGAAGGAAGACAGTGATGAAGAGGAGGAGGATGACGAGGATGAGGATGAGGATGAGGATGAATTTGAACCAGCAGTGGTGAAAGCAGCAGCTGCTGCCCCTGCCTCAGAGGATGAGGACGATGAGGAGGAGGAGGAGGATGAAGATGATGATGAAGATAACTCTGAAGAAGAAGCTATGGAGACTACGCCAGCCGAAGGAAAGAAAGCTGCAAAAGCTGTTCCTGTTCCTGTGAAAGCCAAGAATGTAGCTGAGGATGAAGATGAAGAGGATGAGGATGAGGATGATGATGATGATGAGGAGGAGGAGGAGGAGGATGAAGATGATGAGGAGGAGGAGGAAGAAGAGGAAGAAGAGCCTGTCAAAGAAGCATCTGGAAAACGAAAGAAGGATATGACCAAACAGAAAGCAGCTCCTGAAGCCAAGAAACAGAAAGTGGTCCCATATAAATCTTAGAATTATTGTTTCTATTTCTGTGAAGAATATCCTTGATATTTTGATAGAGACTGCATTGTTTTGTAGATTGCTTTGGGTAGTGTGAACACCTAAACTTTAACAAATCTGCTCCCGAATTAAAAACTGGTATCAGCGATGTTTTTGCTGAAAACGATCTTGCTGTTGTGGATGTCAGAATTGGTATGACTAGGAAATTTGGTTATGTGGATTTTGAATCTGCTGAAGACCTGGAAAAAGCCTTGGAACTTACTGGTTTGAAAGTCTTTGGCAATGAAATTAAACTAGAGAAACCAAAAGGCAAAGACAGTAAGAAAGAACGAGATGCGAGAACACTTTTGGCTAAAAATCTCCCTTACAAAGTCACTCAGGATGAATTAAAAGAAGTGTTTGAAGATGCCGTGGAGATCAGATTAGTCAGCAAGGATGGGAAAAGTAAAGGGATTGCTTATATTGAATTTAAGACAGAAGCTGATGCAGAGAAAACCTTTGAAGAAAAGCAGGGAACAGAGATCGATGGGCGATCTATTTCCCTGTATTATACTGGAGAGAAAGGTCAAAATCAAGACTATAGAGGTGGAAAGAATAGCACTTGGAGTGGTGAATCAAAAACTCTGATTTTAAGCAATCTCTCCTATAGTGCAACAGAAGAAACTCTTCAGGAAGTATTTGGGTACTTTTATTAAAGTACCCCAGAACCAAAATGGCAAATCTAAACGGTATGCATTTATAGAGTTTGCTTCATTTGAAGATGCTAAAGAAGCTTTAAATTCCTGTAATAAAAGGGAAATTAAGGGCAGAGCCATCAGGCTGGAGTTGCAAGGACCCAGGGAATCACCTAATGCCAGAAGCCAGCCATCCAAAACGCTGTTTGTCAAAGGCCTGTCTGAGGATACCACTGAAGAGACATTAAAGGAGTCATCTGACGGCTCTGTTCGGGCAGGGACAGTCACTGACCGGGAAACTGGGTCCTCCAAAGGGTTTGGCTTTGTAGACTTCAACAGTGAGGAGGATGCCAAAGCTGCCAAGGAGGCCATGGAAGATGATGAAATTGATGGAAATAAAGTTACCTTGGACTGGGCCAAACCTAAGGGTGAAGGTGGCTTCGGGGGTCGTGGTGGAGGCAGAGGTGGCTTTGGAGGCAGAGGTGGTGGCAGAGGAGGCCGAGGAGGATTTGGTGGCAGAGGCCGGGGAGGCTTTGGAGGGCGAGGTGGCTTCCGAGGAGGCAGAGGAGGAGGAGGTGACCACAAGCCACAAGGAAAGAAGACGAAGTTTGAATAGCTTCTGTTCCTCTGCTTTCCCTTTTCCATTTGAAAGAAAGGACTCTGGGGTTTTTACTGTTACCTGATCAATGACAGAGCCTTCTGAGGACATTCTAAGACAGTATACAGTCCTGTGGTCTCCTTGGAAATCGTATAGATACCATTTCAAGGGCAATACCTTGTTGGTTTTGACTGGATATTCGTATAAACTTTTTAAAGAGTTGAGTGATAGAGCTAATCCTTATCTGTAAGTTTTGAATTTATATTGTTTCATCCCATGTTCAAAACCATTTTTTCCTACAAAAAAAAAAAAAAAAACCAAAAAACCCCACTCTGCCAATCTCTTTGAATTGATGTATTTAATATAATTAACATTTTGTAATTACTTATAGGGCTTATTACTGAGATTTTTGTTTTCTGTTTTTTACATCAGTTTTTCAAGTTTATAATTTCTTCTTGCTTTTCTTTAGTTATTTAAATACTTCTTAGAATTCCATTTTGATGTGTAGTATTTTTGAGCATTTGTAAAGCTTTTTAAGTGGTTACTCTAGGTATATTACATTATAAATATTTCTTCCACATATATTGAGACCTGTATCAGAGAGTTTTATAATTTTTGCTTCTACTATTAAGTATAACTTTAGAGAACTCCAGAGTAAAGTGCAGTCCATTGTATTTGCCCATATTTTTGCCTACTGTGTTCTCTTTTCTTTCTTGATGTTTAAGATTCATTGTTTTATCATTTTCTTTCTGTTTAGAGAATTTTCTTTAGCTATTCTTTTACGGCATGTCTGTTGCTGACAAATTCTGTTTTTCTACATCAGAATGTCTTGAGTTCACCTTCACTTTTGAAGTGCATTTTCCTTAAACATATGATCTGATTTAACAATCCTTTTCTTTTACTTGACAAACATTGTTAAATTTTCTTCTGATTTCCATAGTTTCTAATAAGAAATATACAGTCATTCAAATTCCCCCTCCATGGGTAAGATGTCATCCTTATCACCCTGATTTCATTATTTTTCTTTGTTTTAAAATTTCAGAAGCTTTACTGTAGTGGCTCTTAGCATGTATTTTTGTGTGTTTATTTTGTCTGTGATTCCCTTAGCTTCTTGAATCTGTAGATTTATGCATTTTAACAAATTTGGCATGAGGTCATGATTTTTTTGAACTCTTTTCAGATGCACCCTCCTTTTTCTTTTTCTTTCAGAACTCTAATGACATAATGTTAAATCTTTTGTTATAGCCATACAGGTCCTTTGAGTTCTGATCTTTAAAACAATACACATTATATTTTCTATTATTCAGATTAGGTAACTTCTGTTGTTTTGTGTGTAAGTTTACTGGTTCTTCTGTAGCCACTATTCTTTTGTTGATTTCATTTATTGTATATTTTATTTATTTATTTATTTATTTTATTTTATTTTATTTTTTTTGAGACGGAGTTTCGCTCTTGTTACCCAGGCTGGAGTGCAATGGCGTGATCTCGGCTCACCGCAACCTCCGCCTCCTGGGTTCAGGCAATTCTCCTGTCTCAGCCTCCTGAGTAGCTGGGATTACAGGCACGCACCACCATGCCCAGCTAACTTTTTGTATTTTTTTTAGTAGAGACGGGGTTTCACCGTGTTGACCAGGATGGTCTCGATCTCTTGACCTCGTGATCCACCCGCCTCGGCCTCCCAAAGTGCTGGGATTACAGGCTTGAGCCACCGCGCCCGGCCTATTTATTTATTTTGAAATGGAGTCTCACTCTGTCACCCAGGCTGGAGTAGAGTGGCGTGATCTTGGCTCACTGTAACCGCTGCCTCCTGGGTTCAAGCAGTTCTCTGCTTCAGCCTCCTGAGCACCTGGGATTACAGGTGCCCACCACCATGCCCAGCTAATTCTTTTTGTATTTTTAGTAGAGATGGGGTTTCATCATCTTGGCCAGTCTGGTCTTGAACTCCTGACCTCGTGATCCACCCACCTTATCCTCCCAAAGCTCTGGGATTACAGGTGTTAGCCACCACACCCAGCATCTTGTATGTTTTATTTTATATTATATTTTTTATAATAGTATATTTTATTTTATATTATATATTATATTTTAAAAATAAAATACACAAATATATTTGCCTATTTTATTTTATATTTTTTATATTTTAAAATATATATTTATATAATATATTTTTTAGTTCTAGACTTTTCACTTGGTTATTCTTTATGTCTTCTATTTATTTACTTAACATTTGCATTTTTTCACTAAGTATGTTTGCAATTTCTACTTCAATCAATTTTCTATGATATCTGCTGCAAAATCTGTCAGATAATTGTAACTCTGTAATCTTGGTGTTTGCATCTATTGACTGTGTTTTTCTTTTATTCAGCTTGAAATCTTCCTCGTTTCAATGTGATAAGTGATTTTTGTTTAAAACCTGGACATATTTGGCAGTTATATTATGAAACTTTAGTGTTATTTACAGCTTCTGTTTTAGCTGGTATCTTAGCTTGGGCTGCTATAACAAATACACTGTAAAAATTTATTTCTCATATTCTGAAGACTGGGAAGTCCTAGATAAAAGCTCTGGCACATTTGGTGTCTGGTAAAGGCCCATCTCCTGGTTCAGAGATGACCATCTTCTTGCTGGGTCCTCACTTGGCAGTTGAAGAAGCAAGCTTTTTCAGGACTTTTATAAGGACACTAATTCCATTCATGAGGAATCTACCCTCACGTTTTCATCTAGACCTAATTACCTCTCAAGTACCTGTCTCATAATATCATTACAGTAGAGGTTAAGGTTTCAGTGTATGAATTTTTGGGGAGACGTATGCATTTATAACATCTAGATTCCTGTTATTCTGCTTTAGCCATCTCACAACTTCCAGGTAGAGACAGAAGTCCAGATTCCCATGTGACCTCTATTGATAGTCAAAGAGGGGAAGTTTCTCATTACTATTGTACAGTGGTGAAAGTTCTGACTCTCTACCAGGCCTCCATCATATCTCCCTAAAATATTTTTATTATTTAAGACTGATGCTAAAATTTGGGGGGATATTCCCTACATTTCATGATAGTTGTGGGCCCAGAGATGGTTTGATAAGGGAGGGGAAAGAGATGACAAACAATGAATCCCATTTCTTCAATGCATTGGTTAAAGTATTTTTACCTTAATCATGCTTGGCTACGTGGCCTGAGAGCAAGCTGACAGAGAATAGTAGATGGAGAGGGAGAAACTGATAAGAGAGGACAAAGACATAATGATGATTAATTAATGGACCAAGTTCCTGCAGTATATGTCCATAAGGTGGAGGCATGATTTATGTATCGTATGGCAGCATGCATAAAGGCAAGGAATAGGAATTACTAAGAAAAGCTTAAATTTCTAGACGCAGGGATTTAGGCTTCTTTAGAAGGGAACTAGTATTTTACAGTTTTATTATCCTTTTATTTTCAGTAACATCAGTAAGTCGGGTTTTGTAGGCTCACCTTACAGGCAAGCATCCCTGGGCTCAATGAGTTTAAATGACTTGCCTAAAATCACCCAATTCGTTAATAGTACCAAGAAAGCAGGTAATATATTTTTTGAGTGGATGAGTGAGTCATCCCCAAATTTCTGATCTCTTGACTTCCAAAAGTCTGACAGATGTCATAGTTCCATCCAGAGAATGTGGAGGACTTCTTTTCTGCCAGAGTTGTAGAACTTCTCCCAGATTTTATAAACAACACTTGGAAGACCTTGACAAATACAATGGTCTAATGCAAAAATATTTAGTAGTGCTCTCTCCTCTTCTGTGGACGTTTACACTTATTTTATAAGGACTTTGACATTTAGAAACATCACAAACATTCTCTAAGTTAGCATTAATGTGAAACCAGTGAATTTAATCAGTAACTAAATACCCAAATATAGACAATTGCAGAGGGTCAGACCAGGGTAAAATGCATCACCATCCCTGGATCCATTCCCAGGGGAAGCAGTTTCTGTGTAGTAAATTTTCCAAGTGGAAAAGGCTGAGATTTTAGGGTCTTGAAAGGTCATGCATTACAAAATCCATCAGATAAATACTCTTTATTTCACTATTACCTGTACTTTTGGGGAACATTTAAAGTAAGCAATTTTGATGACGTCTTCCAGTTAATGGCACACTCCACTTCAGAAGAAAGACCCAGTGGTTATAAGCATGGAGCTCAGGATAAAGAAAGCATAAGGCAGTGTTTTGACTTACTAATCTCCAGTGATCCTTACCTCAATTCTATCTTGTCCATGTTCTCTCTTGGTCATTGTCATGGCCAAAGTCTCCTTAAAATCTGGAACTCCAAATTCCACTTGCTATCCTTTACTTTTAGTTTCCTCTCTCCCTTATCCTCTACCTATCCTTTAAATCTCCAGACTCTGGGATCTTCTGCTGTTTTTTCAGTTATCACCCTGCTACATGCTTCACATTCCTTGCTATCCAGCTTAGCTCAATAGAGTTATTGTGACCCAGCATTTCACTAATGTTTTCATAAATAGCCTTTCATTACTCCCTTGTCTATTGTAAAGCCCAACCCTGTGCCAATTTAACCTCTCAGTGTCTCATTTCAATATCTAGACAGCTGAATTCTGATAGAGAAAGCATGCGATATGGTTTGGCTCTGTGTCACCATCCAAATCTCATCTCATATTGTAATCTCCACATGTTGAGGGCGGGACGCGTAATCCCCTTGTGTGGAGGGAGGGTGGTGACTGGATCATGGGGACAGTTCCCCCATGCTATTCTTGTGATAGTGAGTGAGTTCCCATGAGATCTGATGGCTTTGTACATGTTTGGAAGGTCCTCCTTCATTCTTCTCTTTCCTGCTACTTTTCGAGGAAGATGCCTGGTTCCCCTTCTGCCATGGTGGTAAGTGTCTGCAGAATCCCCAGCCATGTAGAACTGAGTAGATTAAACCTTTTTCTTTCACCTAGTCTCAGGTATTCTTTATAGCAGTGTGAAAATGTACTAATATACCGAGATATCATGGATATTTGGTATCGTTTCAAATTTGGGGTCTCAACTGGCCTTTGGTGCCTTAGGCCAATTCTTCTGCATTTCTCCACAGTTAACACAATGTTCCATTCCTGTAGCAGCTACTTAAAAATTTCACTTCTTTATTCAAACCTCAGACTTACCACCACTGATTTTTTTTGTATTACTGTACTTTAAGTTCTGGGGTACATGTGCAGATATTGCAGGATTGTTACATAGGTACACACATGCCGTGATGGTTTGCTGTCTCCATCC